GCTATTTCTATTGCTAGACCTGCCTGGTTCATGATCACCCCCGAACAAAATGAGATCGGCAGATTCTCTTCATGCAAATTTGAAACACCTTCCGCGAGAACAATAACAGAAAACCATCGTATAAATATTGTCGAGTTACAGTTTGAACTTCCCACGAAAACTTACAACTTACAAGCAAATGTACACGCGATAAACAACTCGAGGAACATACAGCCCCGTTCCCACCGATCGCACCAGCACGAGAAGAAAATAAGTCAGGATGGGGAACCGCTCACCGTCTCTTGTTCCTGCTCCCGAGCAGCAGCGAGATGTAGAAGAGGATGCGGAAGAGGAACCCCCAGGCGACGGTGATCCAGAGGCAGTCCCACTTGGTGAGGTCCGTCACGGCCTGCTGCCGTAGGAAGTCTGGCCCCGTCGTGATGCACGTGTTCGTGCCGATGTCCACGCCCAGCGACTGGCTCATGGCGCGCAGCACCCGCACCTTGAGCACCGCCGGCAGCGCCGCCAGCGGCGTGTTGTCGAACATCTGCACGCCCCGCGAAGCAGCACCGCGTCGGGTCGCTGAACTCGTTCTGCATCACCGCCTCGTACGGATACTTGACCAGCGACAGGTAGTGGAACCACAGCCAGTACCGCGGGATGCGGTCCCGATTGATGAAGAAGCCGCTGAAGAGGAGGAAGTAGGCCAGCGTCGACACCACCACGGGGAAACCCAGCATCACGTTCGTCACCACGCCGGAGAGGAACGTCGCGAACCCGGAGCCGGCCCAGAAGGAGGCCAGCACGATGGCCACGAAGAAGAAGAAGCCGTCGGCGCCGCCGGCCAGGCCCACGGCGAAGAACGTGGTGAGCGCGAACGCGAAGGAGAGCACGACCAGCGACGGGAAGCCGACGATGGTGTGGGAGAGCACGTACGAGGACCGCCGGTACGCGTTGTAGGCCGTCTCCCGGAGGAAGATGTAGCGCTCGTTGAGGAACACGGGGAGCGAGTCGGAGCAGGTGTAGAACATGGTGGACATGGCGATGGCGAAGAAGCCCAGGCGCTCCTCGACTCCCTTGGGGGAGTCGTCCAGGCGCCAGAAGATGGTCGCCAGGATGAACCCCGTCACCATCACGGCCGCTAGGCGGATGATGAAGATCTCCGGCGTGCGCTTCGTGCTGAGGAACGCGCGACGGGTGAGCACGCCCATCTCCACCCAGAACGGGTTCGCGAACTTCGACACCGGGGCCGCCGGCGCCGCCAACTCCCCGGGCGAATGCACCGACACGGATCCGTCGCTCGCGCCTGACACGAGCTTCCCGCGAGAGATGCTGGCTCTGATGGCCTCCTTCAGGGACAGCGACGTCTTCTCGACGTGCCCGTCGTGGTGCTTCGCCTTGGGAGCCATGCGCGTCTGCCATTTCTTGTTGTGCTCCACGAGGTCCCTGGCCCCGTCCGGCATGGTCTCCAGCTCCCTGATGAGGTCAAGCGCGAACTCCGTCGGGTTCTCGTTGAAAGGGATGGGCTTGCCGAAGTCGTTGAAGAAGGACGGCAGCGCGCGTGGCGTGCCGTAGTACACCGTCTGGCCGCGGGAGAGGAACAGGAGGCGGTCGAGGAGGCCGAGGATGCGGTAGCTCGGCTGGTGGATGGACATGACCACCACGCTGCCGCTCTGCGCGATGCGCTGCAGCACCTTGACCACCATGAACGCGCTGGTGGAGTCGAGCCCGGAGGTGGGCTCGTCAAGGAACAGGACGATGGGATCGTGGATGATGTCCATGCCGATGGACACGCGGCGGCGCTCCCCGCCGGACACGCCGCGGTGGCCCTCGTCGCCGATGATGGTGTTGGCCGCGTTGCGCAGGCCGAGCTGGTCGATGAGCGCCTGCACGCGCTTCCTCTTCTCTTTGGTTGGCAGAGAGCGGGGCAAGCGGAACTCGGCGGCGAACATGAGCGTCTCCTCCACGGTGAGCATCGGGTACAAGAGGTCGTCCTGCATGACGTATGCGGAGATGACCTTGAGCAGGTTGCTGTCGAGCGACTCGCCGTTGAGCGTGACGGAGCCGTGGAGACTCTCCTTGACGATGCGGTTGGCGAACGCGTCGATGAGCGTGCTCTTGCCGGAGCCGCTGGCGCCGAGCACCGCCATGATCTCGCCCTCCCGTGCCTCGCCGGATATGTTATCCAGCAGCGTCTTCATCCGGGGCACCTCGGGCTCGGCCGGCTCCCCGCCCCCGCGGCGGAACGGCAGCGCCGGCAGGCACGTTCTCTTCTTCCGCTGCTTGACGCTGTACGTGAGGTCCGTGAACTTGAGCACGAACTGCAGGAGCGGCCCGTCGCTGCCGCGGTCGCCGCCGCCGCGCATGCGCTCGCTCAGGTCGCTGCCTGTGGAGCCCGGCACGGAGCCGCCCAGCTCGATGGTGTAGTGCGAGTGCGTGGGCGAGGACGTGGGCGACGAGGCGTCGCTGCGCGCCTCGTTGACGCGCTTCAGCAGCTGCGCGAGCGTGAACGACGACTGCTTCGCGGGCGGCGACGGCTGCGGCTGCATGAGCAGGCCGCTGTGGTGCGGCTGGTGGTGGTGCATGTGCAGGAGGCCGTTGCGCGGGATGTCCCCGGCCTCCTCCATCGGCGACGACCTCCGGTCAAAGAACGGCAGCTTGTCGACGAACCGCGACATGGCGCCGCGCGCGCTCAATACGTACGTGCTCCTCCCCTCCCCCTCACCGCCGGCGGGCACCCCACCTCGCTGCCTGCCGCGGCGAGCGAGAAAGAGAGAGATAGAGAGGCGGGTTCTCGATCGGCGTTGGCCTGGACTCTGAGGATCACACTGCTAGTAAGTAACCATTCTTATAGCTCCTCACTGGAGCAGTCAAAAGCGGCGCTAGGTTGGTGAAGGGAGATTGGCTGCCCGCGGCCCCGCTCTGGGTTTTTTTTCTTGCTGTTAGTTGGAATCGGTTAAGTTGCCGCGGCCATGGATGTGAGGAACCAAGGAGGAGACGGAGGGCTTAGCTTGGGTTTAGGAGAGGGGGTCAAGGCGGTGGGTACGGTGGGTGGAGCTCCTCCCTTCGCCCTCAGCGTGACTGCCTGCGTGCGCGCAAGTTTTGGCGCGCGAGGTGGTTAAGCGTCCCTCGCCCAAAGTTCACCAAATGGGCAGCTAACAACGGCGTAGCAGAGCACCGGGCTATGCGCAAAAGTATGCCAAAGAACGCATGGAGGGTTGGGGGAATGGTGTGAGGTGTTGGCCAAAGTCAAGAAATGTCGTAGGGGCAAAACAAATTGTAATCACTCGCTTTTGGAGCAGCACATCATTAGGTTATTAGATTGTTCAATGCACCTTTTAATCAGGATTAATTGTTAAATATTTCATCATTATATATCTCGATCATATTAGACAGGATTGTTTCAGTTGCGCTAACTTGGTTCTGTAGCTGGGGACATGCTTGTACCACATGATATTGGGCTATTTTGCACATGAATTAGTGACTACCATTATATGTTACTTATATGTGACGTGCACCTTAATAACTATCCAAAGTTTACGGAATTTTGAAATTGACTCGCTTACCCCTTTTAGCAAAGTTGTTAGGTCTTAGGTGCGAGCTGCCTTGCATGTCGTGTCGATGACTTGTTTAACCTAGCACACCACGTATGGGCTGCCGGCTGCCGCTTTCGTTGGAAATCGCGGTCCGCCAAGTTTGCACGTCTGGTTTCTTGTTGCAGCGGTGGAGGAGCGCGCGGTCACGCGGCATGTTTGATACGTGGGCTGGGGGGCGGAGGCGCGGAGCCTGAGGTGGTGAACAAATCACCATCTACCTATCCGTATCTCAACGCCCTAGGTCTTACCAGCAGCAGTATACGCTGTTTGGTCAGGCACTGACCAAATAGGTCGCTTTTAGCCTTCTCTCACGGCCGATGCACGTAGAAAAATTCAGACTTTCAGTACGCAGGTAAAAAAAAATGCAGTTTCGGATGAAAGATAAAATGTGATGGAATCAAATGCATGCAGCTTTATTGGATGCTTTTGGAACATCCTCTGACCAACACTAGCTCCTCGTGAAAAGAGTGGTCCGACCAACACCTATTCTAACCAAGTCAACCATAAGTTGACCAGCACTATCTACTTTGCGGTTTTCAAGGGCTCTTTTAATTCAGAGTCTTCCTCGCACCAGTTTGAGTGAGAAATTTTATGACAGAGTTACCAAGACTGTTAAGCTTTTATGTTGATGACTGTGATAACAAGTTTTATCTAGATGAAACTATATGAAACTTTCTCTATATCTCTCTCCAAAATTAATCTGTCAAGCCATTAAATTTACTGATGTATCAAAATATTAAATATAAATAAAATTCAAGAAAAACTAGCCTCAATAGCTAAAGGAAACACTAGGATTTTCAGATGAGGTACTGCTCAAAGCTTCTAGCATAGTATAAGTAAATAACGCAGTGAACATGGGAAATAAACGTATGTGTGGTTTCAGACATCTTCAAGATTTTAGTTTTTGATCAATTTCTCGGTGGCACGGTAATGGTACTAGTTGAAAGTTGAACAAAAAAAAATGTATGCCCATTTCATGTTTTGATCCAGCTCAAAATAGTTAGAGATGCTTAGGGGCCGTTTGTTTTCCTGGCCGAAGGGTCCACCAGGCCTGTTTGTTTGCCTGGCCCAGCTCGGAGTCAGTCCCGCACGGGAGTTAAAGCAGCACGGGCTAGGCCGAGAAACGAAATACTACGTTGTTTTCAGGTCGGCTCGATCCAGCGTAGGAAGCTTGCCTTCCGTCACCTCCCACCTCCCAGCGCTTTGCGCGTTCTCACCTCCCGCCCGCAGCGAGGCCAAGGCCGCCGCCGCTCGTGCTCGCCGTTCGCTGTTCGCGCTCGCCGCCGAGGCCCAGGCCGCCGCCGCCGCCACGCTCGACGTTCGTGGTCGCCGCTGAGGCCAAGGCCACCGCTACCAGCCCTTTCCCACTTCCCGCCGGAGCGCTACTCCTCCTCTTCCGCCGTTCCATCACCGCCTCCCAATCCCATGGGCGACCCGCACCTCCTCTCCTCCGCCCACCCCACCGCTGCCGCCGCCGCCGCCGCCTCCTCCTCGGCTCGAGAACACCCTGGCCCCATCGACGAGGACCTCGCCGCGCCCGATCCTTCCCCGTCCGTCGCCAAACGTCCTAGGGTTGCGGCGGAGCCGCCCGCCTCCGGCGGCTGCGTTCCGTACGTCGAGGCGGATGTACGAGCTCTTGTATCGATGGCAGGAGGAATTTACCCGCTGGCGCGGGCAGAGGCGCTCCGTGGACTCACCGCGGTCCTCGAGAAGGTCGACCCCAGCAGCCGTGCCAGCGTAGTGATCACGGAGTGCTCCTACCAATGCGCGGTGGTGCTCATGAGGGACGACGACAACGGCGTCAGGTTAGCCGTCGTGCGATTGGTGAGGTTTTGTCGTTTCGTTAATATTTTGTTGCACTTGGATGCCTCGGTGAGGTTAATTAGTTGGCATAAATCTGAGATACTGAGGAAATTTCCTGCCCCCCATGGATAGGTAGACGCGTGTGCTCGAAATTTTTCAGCGAGATTGGATTTCGATGCCGATGGCTATGGTGACCTGATGGACATGATTTTCCTACAGGTATGGTTCGCACACTTTGTGCTGCAGTTGGTATTACAGGTTTACAGTACAGTAGAATTGAATGGCCGTAAAAATAAGCACTCTCTAATAAGCATGCATTTACATGGTTTCGTGTTCCAACAGCATTTGATGTTTTTGTATTTGCTTATACTCCCTCCGTCCTACAAAGAAAGACATTGGGCCTGTTCGCTGGTTGGTTTCTAGGCTGATAAGCCCGGCTGGTGTTGGTTTGTTGTAAGAGGAAAACACTGTTGGCTGGCTGATAAGCCCTGGTTGAAACCAACAAACGAACAAGCTGATTATAAGATTTATAACACAAATTAAGGATGAAGCAAAATGACTTGGATACCCCTCAAAAGTACTGGTGGACAATGATAGACAGTGCTGAACAGTGTCAAACAGTCTACAGTGTCTTTCTCTGTGGGAGAAATTTTAAGTGCCTCTCTTTGTGAGACTGAGGGAGTAAGACATATTTCCCACTGCTTACCATTAGATTCATATCAGCAGAGATCCTTTTGATTGATAGAATAAGGTGAAAGTGTTGATCCTGAAATAATGTTTAATATCGAAGTACTTTCTTTTATAGTGTTAAAATAAACTTTTTATAATTTTTCTTAACAAAATATACAAACATTTCATCTGTAAATAGCATGCTTTGTTTCATTGTAATGCTTATGCTTCCTCTTTCTTCTCTACTCAGCTAAGCTCCATGGCTAGGGACATGTGCACACAAGTGAGAATGGAAGCATTCGCTGCCCTAGGTAAAATGCAACGAGTTTCTGAGGGTGTTCTGCTGCAGTCGCTGTATAAGAAAGTCATAAAAACTGACAGTATGGATGTTTCTATCATCAACGGGCAAAAATTACCTCCTAAACTAAAAATTCCCTGTGCTGCTGGGATTTTTTCCCATGGAATTGAAGATGAGTTTTACCAGGTTCTGTCATTCTCAGTATCGTTTCCACTAAAATTGCAATATTTTTTATTTTATTTTATTGATATTTTTATTTTATTTTATTGTTGTTTCCACATTACAGGTGAGAAGAACTGCTTGCAAATCATTAGGAGCACTAGCAAAGTTTTCTACTCAGTACACTGAGAAGGCCTTGGATTTGTTGATGGACATGATGAATGATGATTCGGAAGCAGTTAGGCTGCAGACTTTGGAAGCACTATTTCATATGGCAACATATGGATGTTTGAGTGTGCAGGAGAAGCACATGCATATGGTATTACCTATGAACATAGTTTGCCAAGTAATCAGCATATATTAATTAATTGGCCATTCCTTAGGTACCACATGCCACATGTTAGTCCTATGCCACTCTTTTTAATTCATAGCTAGTTATTTTTCTTACTCTGTTTATAAGATATGCCTTGTAATGATATCACAGGTTGTTGGATAGAATGGAGATTTTTTTTTTCTTGAACGTGCGGGAGAGCTGCGTATCAGGATATATTTTTTTATATCCTCAGCTTATCGCACAGCTTATTATTCTGAAATATTTTGTTGCAATTGTAGGAAAATCTTTTGTAGCCACTAGCCAGAGTTCCTCAAGCCAGTACCAGTGTATTGAAGAAAGAGTACTGACACAGATATTATTCAGAGGAATCTTAACTGATAGTGATCTGCACCGTTGAATGTGTGGTTTTCAAGGGAACAATATGGAACAACATTCGACCATAAACATATATGCAACGATAATGGACTTGGCCAGAATCTGAAACATTCATGAAAATATAATTTTGGGTCAAAACAGCTCAGTTTTGTAGTTCCTAAAGTGGTGGGTCCATGTTTTTCGATTCTTGTGCATTTTACTGTCACAAAGCAACCTTAGCTCCAGCTTTTAAGTAAAAGAGAAGCATGCATAATCAAAAGATCAAGCAGGTTCAAGTCCTGTTTTTGTTGAAAGTCCTCTCTCTGGAGTCTGAATGACTTATAATTGGATTTGTACCTGCTTAATTGGATCTTCCAAATAATCTAGACATATCTTTGCTATTGATCTTGCTAAATGCTAGTAAAATTCTCCAACCTTATGTATGTAATTGTTTTTGTAGTTTCTTGGATTGCTGGTTGATGCCAATGCCTTAATTCGAGATGCAGCACTCAAGATCCTTGGGTTAGTCAACATGCCAAAACTTCAAATATTCAAATCTGCAGTTGATGGTCTTATTACAAGTTTGGAGAAATATCCAGAGGTATCTTAGTGCCACATCTTTGCTGAAAAACAATCATCACAGTTTTCAAGATCTCTTAAATTTATTATGGGTCAGCAACTCAGCATGTAATATATTCACTCTTTCATGGTTTAACTGGATGTATTTATTTCATGCAGGAACAGGATATATATGGTATTCTATTTTCCATTGGTAAGAATCATGGGAGCTTTTCAGCTAACATAGCTAAACATTTGGCCAAAGAGGTATTCTGAATCTCCAACTTCCAGTGTATTTACATGCATGCCATCTGAGAATAATGCTGCTAAGTTGTACCTTTCTCTATACTTCAATTTGCTATGTCATTCAGTAACCACTGTCTAGTTAGATGCACCAATATCTGTGTTTGGTATCTTCAATTTCCTCCATCATATCTTTTGCATTCTTTTCTAAGGTCTGTTTTCTAATGTTATTTTATCTGCATATCATAGATCACTATGGCATCTGATGGAGAGCTTATCTTGGACAAACCAAGGGTCAAAGCATTGTTAATAGTGTCTATTTCAGCACCTTTTTCTGATGATAAGCACAAGAAGCTGAACATACCTTCGATTATCTTCTCACATGCAATTCCTCTACTGGAGAAGGTCTCGTGTGCACTAGGAGGAGAGGTTAGTCAGGATTCACTTTTATCTTACTTGTGTCATAAAGGTGGAATGCCATTTTGGGAAAACAGATCAGTATCTGCAGAGTTTGGAGAGTCTGAAAGCTGCAATGTTGAAAAAGTGGAAATTGGTGCCCATGTAGAAAATACTGCAAAGGAAACCAAGTGTCTAGATGAAGTTCTGGTAATGCAATCCATGAAATCCATACTAGAAATAGTTGAAGGATCCTGGACTATGAGAATGCCGTGCAATGTTTGTGAAGTCCGGTCTATTTTGAGGTACTAATGACTTCTTTTCCTTTTGCACACAACCAAACCATTCTATATTAGTACTCGAGTGCATATCCAGTATTACAGTTTAGTCCCAAATTTTGCATGATGGTCGATGATAGCATGCTATATCCATCCATATTTTTTGTTCAATTTTTTATGCACTTGGGGCCTTGTGTTGGTAAACACTGCAACCCAAGGTAACATTGGATATATTCTCTATATAGTCTATCTTGTGAAATATCTTTTGAGTTCAGTTTTTCTTGATTGTAGAACATGCAAAGAAGAGCTAAGATTATTGGCAGAAAATTCTTCTGGATCAATTGGTGCATTCTTGAGCTTTCTGAGTGAGTATCTTGATGCAATATTGTTCATTGTTGAAATATGGCAGTTGATTCAGTTGGACAATCCTTATACTTTTGGCCTAACGTCACTTGATATTTTACTGGAGAAGTTGGATATGTCTGTAAGAAGGATGGAATACTGTTATGTTGGATTAAATAGAGTATTGGAGGTCCAAGTGTTGGAGCTTTCTTTGATAGCTCATTTATTTAGACTGTCAAAGATTGCAGTTTGTTCCAAGGTAGTTCTGGGTAAGTTGCTTTGGGTAATTAATCGCTTAGAGGATCTGTGTGCTGATGGGTCCTGTGAACTGTCTGACTTCAGTAGAGAAATTAAGAAGGCCTGTGATACCAGCCCTACTGGCGATAATCTGATTGGCAGCATTAACAATTTGTTTCAACTCTTCCGTCTAAAACCAACAACAGACTTTGGAATGCTTAAAGTGATAAATGCAGGGTTGCGAGTCTGTGATAACAATTCTGAAAACCCATTACAATACATTTGTGGATTACCAGTGGGCGTCAGCTTTAAAATATCTCTGTGGAACGTATCTAGTCATCATAGATTGTGGCTCCGCATGACTATTGGTGAATCTATGCAACATACCTTCCTAGAGTTTTCTGGTTTTGGAGGCAATGATGAGGTGAAGAGTGGCTCTATGGTTGCTCCTCTGTATGCTACTCCAAAGGCATGTTCATTTGTGCTTCGGGTATGTCTGGTAATGGAATGTCCATCTGCAGGGATCAGCACCCACCAGGGAGGACATGGAGGACCGAGTAATTGTGTGGTTCAACTCTCTGATGAACTGAATGTTTATTTTGTTAGTGTTAGCCAATGGTGATGATTAAAATAAGTGATCATATGCTCTCTATGCTCATCGTCTTACAGGCACTTGCTTGAGTGGACATTCTTGATCCAGGTCTCTTCTGAGGAAAAAGGTTCAGTTGTGCTGACATTTTTGTAGATATAGCAAAAGCCTCTTCTGAGGACAAGGGTTCAGTTGTGCTGAGATTTCTGTAGCTATAGCAAAAGCAAAGCAAATGGGCTGCGTGTTCCATGACCGTATGCGTAGTGTGGAGGTGCAAGTGGTTTGTAACCTGGTTGAAGCACTTACAGAAGGAAGGTGAAGCTGACGAAGTGATGATGGAGAAGGTGGAGCGTGGGGGCGATGGAGAAGGTGCAGTGTGGGGGTGAAGCTGACGATGCAGAAGGTGCAGCGGACCATGCTGCGCGGGTCGTGGTCGGATGTAGTGTTTTTTTTTTTTTTGACCAATTTGTGTGGCCTTGGCCTGCGGTGAGGATTCTAGGATGAGAAACTGCTGGATCAGAAATTCGGAATTCTACACTACAGCTCATGATATATGGAATGCAATTTAGTTATTAGGTTTTAATTTGTGCAGTTTACTGATGATCAGGTCCAGTTCATGATATATGGAATGTAATTTAGTTATTAGGTTTTAATTTGTGCAGTTTACTGATGATCAGGTCCAGATTATTAAGATATCGGATCATGGCCATGGGAACTCTTTTGTGGGCGATCTATTGATCGGTTGATTGTTGGTTTACAACTAAATAATTGTAGTCAAATTTCGTTGTGCTGAAACAAATTCCCATCGCCCTAATCAATCATCCCCGTCCAACCCTTATCCCCTAACTGCATCGCCTTAATCAATCATCCCCGTCCAACCCTTATCCCCTGACTGCAGTAAAGCGTTATAAAAAATCTTTGGAGGCCAACACATAAATAGACACGCACAAATTATGATTCAATTCGAAACGTGGGATTAGCAAAAAATCTTTGGAGGCCAACACATCGTAATTAGACACGCACAAATTATGATTCAATTCGATCGTTCTTACGACGTGGGATTAGATTGACTGGAAAGAACACTTTAGAGAGAATTTTGGCTATTCCATTTTCCATGCTCGATCGTAGGATTTTTTTTTTTTGAGTGAGAGACAGAACGATCGTAGGATTATGCATGTGGAAGCCCACCCACGAAGGAATCATCTCATCTCAAGCATGAAACAAACAAAGCCAATTCTTCGATATCTCTGTTTTGCCTGTTCGGTGGCATTTAATTGCAGTTGGCTGCTGCTGTTTAAACAGTGCTGCATGGAGATTTCACAAAACCGGCGAAGGACTGACACTGGCAGTGTTTGATTGAGCTTCACATGCTCCTTTGCTAGACTAGCTGGGGTGTGGGGAAGCGGAAGCTGGAGAAGTTAAAAAAAATGTTCTATCGGTTTCTATTCTAGTACAGTTGTTTTTGGGAGAGAAGCTTAGTGCACAGTGACGTGAGCAGTGAAGATCCAACAAACGGGTCTGTCAAGATGGGAAAAAATCAATGAGAACGATCCCCGTAGAAGTAGAACGGCCGTGATTCACAAGACGTGTTCATGCGCATGAGCTTCAGCTGAGACGAAGAGGCGCGTCTCGCTTCTCATCGGCGCCGTCCTCCACGGCCATCCCCCATCCTATTTCACTTTCCCTAAACCTTCAGTTCCTGGACAACATTACCTTCACCGGCGGCCATCAGGCTCTGCTGCTCGAGCACGATTTCTTTCGTATGCATGGCGGAATAAGAAGTCGTCCTTCACCTTAAGCAGGTACCTCGAACGAATCGCCTTCACGAACTCGGCCTCGGATTCCGGACTGTGGAACGGCAGTTTAGTCTTCACCGGCCGCACCTCCGCGTGACCGGGCTCTGCCTTCGGTCGTGTCGTCGTCGTCTCCAGCTCGCTCCCCTCGTCCCCCACCTCCTCTTCCTCCCTTTGAAAGGGACAGTAGTCCCTGAGGTAGCTCAGGCGGCGCGAGCAGGCCGCCTTCTCCTCCGTCCAGCAGGCGACAAGTTCTCGGTCGACCTGCGTGGCGCTGTCCATTGCTCTGCTCTTCTAGGCGATGACGGACATCAGGAACGCGGCGGTCATGTCCGCACCCGAGTGCGCAAAGCTCTCCGGCGGCTCGCCCAGCACTCCAGTTGGTAACCGCGGCTCCACTGGCAGCGCGGCGCTGATCTCCTGCGGAGGGAGGTCGAAGCGGACCCTGAGGCCTTTCCTCTTACGTCGGCCGTCGACGGCCACGGCCATGGCCTCCGGTGCGCCATCATCGCTAGGGCTCCTGTCACTCTGCAAAATCGGTGCACGTGCACCTTCTCGCCGCGGCGTCGCCTGTTGCTCCGGGACCTTTGGCTCCAGCGCCTGCTCCCTCTGCTTTTCAACGTCCACGTCGCCGCCAGGATCTTCCGCTTGATCTCACCGGTCCACCTCCGCCGCCGCTGCTTCTCGCTCCCATGCGCGTTCTCCTTGGCCGGGACAGGAACATTAACAGCGTCATCGCTGAAGCATGTCAGTATAAGGAGCGCGCGCGGCGCCATGGACACCGCACGCAGATCGCCTGCTCGGTTAACGAGTTGCCGTGCTTTTGTTGGCATACGTGCGTGCAGCTTTTTATACACTGATGAGGCGCCTCCCCTAAGGTCCGAACCTAATCTAATCTGATTTATTAAGAGAAGTCCGATATCTAATGCACGGGACAAATTCGAACTAAATGAATCGGCAGTACGTCTAAACAAGAAGAAAAACTTTTATAAAACGTACAGATTTTTAATAAAAAGATATAAAATCCAAGCTTTATATCTACATGGGATATATACAACTAAGGCCCCGTTCGCGTGCTCTTAAACTTGGCTTGATCCGGTTTTTTTTTCATCCGGAACAATATTTTTTTCTCATAAATTCCTCCAGAATTTATCAAAACCATCCAAATTTCTCCAGAACCATACCATCCGAACGGGGCCTAAAAGTCTACAAACATGTAATCAAATCTAATCTGGTTTATTATGAGAAGTCTGAAATCTAATGCATGAGGCAAATCCGAACCGAATGGATCGGCCGTACGTCTAAAAAAAGAAAACTTTTGTAAAATGTATGGATTTTTTAATAAAAATATTTAAAACCTAGGCTTTATATCCACATGAGATATATACAACCAAAAGCCCTCTAGGTAAAGTACGCAAAGGTGATCAAATCTAATCTAGTTTATATACACATGGGATATAAAAAGATATAAAAACTTTTGTAAAAGCGTATGGATTTTTTAATAAAAAGATATAAAATTCAGGCTTTATATACATATGGGATATATACAACCAAAACCCCTAAGGTAAAGTAGGAACAGGTGAACAAATCTAATTTGGTTTATTATGAGAAGTCCGTTATCTAATGCACGGGGCAAATCCGAACCAGATGAATTGGCCGTACGTCTAAACAAAATGAAAAAACTTTTGTAAAACGTACGGATTTTTTAATAAAAAATATATAAAATCCAGGCTTTATATCCACATGGGATATATACAAACAAAACCCTTAAGGTAAAGTACGAACATGTGATCAAATCTAATATGGGTTATTATGAGAAGTCTGGTATTTAATGCATAGAGCAAATCCGAACTGAATGAATCGTGCGTCCGTCTAAACAAAAAGAAAAACTTTTGTAAAACGTATGGATTTTTCTATAAAAAGATATAAAATCCAGGCTTTATATTCACATGGGATATATACATAGAAAAGCCCTCAAGTTAAAGTACGAAGAGGTGATCAAATCTAATCTGGTTTATTATAAGAAGTTCGGTATCTAACGCATGGGGCAAATTCGAACCGAATGGATCAGGCCATACATCTAAACAAAAAGAAAAACTTTTGTAAAACATAAGGATTTTTTAATAAAAAGATATAAAATCTAGGCTTTATATCCACATGGGATATATATAACCAAAAGCCCTCTAGGTAAAGTACGAACATGTGATCAAATCTAATCTGATTTATTGTGAGAAGTCTGGTATCTAATGCATGAGGCAAATCCAAACTGAATGGATCGACCATACGTCTAAACAAAAAGAAAAACTTTAGTAAAACCTACGGAATTTTTAATAAAAGGATATAAAATCCAGGCTTTATATCCACATGGGATATATAGAACCAAAATCCCTCAAGGTAAAGTACGAACTGGTGATCAAATCTAATCTGGTTTATTTCGAGAAGTCCGGTATCTAATACACGGGGCAAATCCGAACTGGATAGATCGGGCCTTACGTCCAAACAAAAAGAAAAACTTGTGTAAAACGTACGGATATTATTAATGAAAAGATATAAAATCCTGTATTTATATCCACATGGGATATATACAATCAAAAGCTATTCAGGTAAAGTACACAAAGGTGATCAAATGTATCCTGGTTTATTATGAGAAGCCCGGTATCTAATGCATGGGGCAAATCCAAACCGAACGAAATAAAAAGAAAAAAAAAGTAAAAACATATGGATTTTTAATAAAAATATATAAAATCCTGGATTTATATCGCATGGGATATATACAACCAAAAGCCCTTCGGGTAAAGTACGCAAAGGAGATCAAATCTAATCTGGTTTATTATGAGAAGCCCAGTATCTAATGCATGGGGCAAATCTGAACTGAATGGATCAGCCCGTACGTCTACACAAAAAGAAAAACTTTTATAAAAAGCACGGATTTTTTAATAAAATGATATAAAATCGAGGTTTTATATCTACATGGGATATATACAAACAAAAGCCCTCCAGGTAAAGTAGGAACAAGTGATCAAATTTAATCTGGTTTATTACGAGAAGTTCGGTATCTAATGCATGGGGCAAATTCGAACAGAATGGATCGGCCATACGACTAAACAAAAAGAAAACTTTCTTAAAATGTAAAGATTTTTAATAAAAAAATCCAGGCTTTATATCCACATAAGATATATACAACCAAAAGCCCTCAAGGTAAAGTACACTACTATAAAAAAACGTTTGTAACAACGGGACAATTTTTTTAAAGGGGCGGAGCCACCTCTATAGTGGGCGTGCTCGGGACCCACGAGACCAGCCGCCCCTACAAATGGCATAGTAGGGGCGGCTGGTGATACGAGCCGCCCCTACAAATAGATCGATTTGTAAGGGCGGCTCACTCACCAGCCGCCCGCGGTGTCGCGATTTGTAGAGAGGACTCAATCACCGGCCGCCCCTACAAATACCGCCGCACGTACAATAGGCTGCAATCAAATAACCCAACAAATAAATACTCGGCTTCAGCTTGTCGTTCCAGAGGCTTCTTCTCACCCCTTCGTTCTCTTCTTCGCTTTCTCCATCCCACGCTCTCCCGACACCGACAGGGCAATGGCCGCTGGCGCGCGCGGCGCGGCAGCTGCGGCTGCCCCTCCTCTTCCTCCTCCCCCCTCATGTCGTCCCGACCGGCCCCCAGCGCTAGCTCCCCGTGCGAGGCGCTGGTGGCGCGACGGCGCCCCCCGGGCGCTGCGATCGGGAGCGTCGACCACCATCGTCGCCCCCCGGCGAGGTCACCTCCTCTGAACGCCGCGGTCTTCTCTCCGGCCCCTGAGTTGGCACGTCGACCTAGGCGGATGGCCCCCGGCGCGGCCACGCCGTCCTAGGGTTTGGCCACCCATCGGCGTGTACGCCACGCCGCCGCCGTGGTGCCCAGTTCTTCGTCATGCCCTTCACCGGCAACAAGCACCCAGGTATGTCGGCCCCTTCGTTTCCCTTCCTGCTGCGCGAAACCGAGCACCTAAGCCCTGACTAAGCTATTTGGCTATCTGTAATTGGATCTGATCTAATTGCAAGTTTTAAGTGTATAAATGTATTATGCTTACCAACTTTGATTTTTTTTATTTCTTGCAAAAATTATCAGGTGTACATGGGTGTTGTTCAGCGCGCACAATAATATCGTCCAATCTGCAGAGTGGTGTAGTTCGGTTGCTCAAAAAAAATGTCCGGTTCCAAGAGAAGCCTCCGGTCTTGGATGGGTTCTTCTAAAGATTGAGAGGACGATTCAACCAAGAAGAAACATGCAGGCACCTCCCAGAAGGCTCAGAAAGGACCTGATTTTTCAAAACTTTTGGTACCTATCTATTCGCCACAACTGCAATCAGATATATGCATGTATACTGCTCTGTATTGGTGATTTCATACATCTGTGTACGACGGGGTGGTGTTTGTGCTGTCAGGGTTCGTGAACCCCAAGAGGAGCACCTTTCGTTGACAAGCATTGAACATGGGTGCTGAGTATCGAGACGATTGGACATCGGACTACACCCTTCTTGTTTGTGCATTTGTCAACACCCCCAAGTTTCGACAAGTTCAGGCGGATAATGGAACCATTGTCTCAAAGGTGGGTTCTCAGCTATTGTCGTTATAGTCAGCTTTTTGGAAAGCCCCTTCAAGCAAATAATTCCCTTTCCATCAACTTTCAGAGCTAAAATAAATTGTTTATGGTCTTGCCTTGTCTTAGGACTACACTAAAGATTGTACTTCCTGTATTAACAATTACATGCTTTAGTTCCATTTCTCAGTTTTATTCTTGCTTATGTTACAAATGAGTTTGTTGTTTTTCATGTCACTTACAGGTGTAATAGTTTATCTGTCATTCTTCTCTACTGCTCCAGGCTTGTGCAGGTAGATTTTGTGAAGTTATGGAAGAGCTCTTTTTTTGACAACTAAGAGCATCTCCAACAACTCCTTATATTGACTTGCTATTCTTATAATTTTGCAAAAAACTCAAAAACTCCTCTCCAACAACTCCCTATATTCACTTCCTATTTTTCCCAACTTGCCAAATTCCTTCTCATGTAGCGTAATTCCTTGTTTCATGACGCCGATTTCATGTCGCCCGATTTGGCGTCTCCCTTGACATGAGTCCCTCCCACACAGCAGACAGATCTTCCAGCGCCGATCCAGAGCGATCCATCTCCCCTTCACAGCGTTAAAGATCTCCTCCCGTCCGTCTCCTCCTGCTTCTGCGGCGTCCGCTTCTGTTCTGCGGCGTCCTCTTCCGCCCGGTGTTCCACCAAGGTCTGCGGCAATCTCTTCCGCCAAGTTTTGCGGCCATCGATCAGGTGCGCCTTGTCCTGAACTATCCTCCTCAACTCGTTCAGGTAGACCATGGATCGGGGTTTAGGGTTCAGTTTGTTCATGGGTTCAGGCTGTTGTTCATGGGTTCAGTTTGTTCTATACTCATTTTAGAATGGAAGAAGATGGTTTCTTGAGCAACATCCTTCTCGAAGGACATGGGGCTCCTGTTGCTGCCGTGAACGAGGTTGATGACATTCCAGAGAGCCAAGACAGTCCTAGTAGTGTTGAAGTAGTGCAGCCAAGCCGAAGCACGAAGGGAGGAAAGAGGTCCAAAAATTTTACTCCCGAAGAGGATGAAATTGTTTGCTTTGGATGGTTGGCTATTAGCAAGGATCCCATTAACGGGGCGAATCAATCTCGTACTACATTTTGGGGCAAAGTTCATGCTTATTTCGAGGAACACAACAAATCTAAAGTTCCTCGTTCAGAGAGTTCCATTATGCATCGGTTTCTGGTAATTCAAACTAGTGTGAACAAGTTTTGTTCACACTATGATCAAATTCTACGTAGGAATCAAAGTGGCACAACTATGCAAGATAAGGTATGCAATTTATTTTGAATGCTTTATTTGAACTTCACTTTTAAAATGTATATACTTTGATGGTATTTCTATGCAGCTTAATGAAGCAAAAAAGGTCTACAAAAACTTAGACAGGGACAACAAATCTTTTGTTTTTGAGCATTGCTGGGACATACTCAAGGAGGAGGACAAGTGGAAATCCAAGATGGTAGAAATTGCAGAGGTTGAGAAACTAGCAAAAAGCAAGAAGCAAAAGAAGGCCGGAAAGGTGTCAAGGCCAAGGGATGAAGGAGCCTTAAATAATGACAATGGCATACCTCTTGAAGCTGAAGAAACCGAACCAAGGAAGAGGTCCGATGGGATAAAGAAGGTACAAATTTTAAGTGGCAAAGAGTTTTATATTAGTTGTACAATTTTTTTTATTGGACTGTACTAAAGCATTGATTATTGATCAGGTAAAAGCAAATCTTAAGCGAGGAGGTGGTGAAGCTTGCATGGAAGCATTGGACAAGATGTGGTCGAAGAAGGAGGTTTTCGAGAAGGAAAAGGAGAAGGCCAAAGAGGACAGGTTCATGGCTACACTAGAGATAGAGAAGGCTACACTAGAGCTAGAGAAGAAGAGGGTGGACAATGAAGCAAAAAAAGCTGAAACCGACTTGATGAAAGAATAGAATAAAATTATGTTAGCGCACCAACAGTACACTGACGCCACGCACCAACAGCACACATTCATTCATTGACCATGCTGCTATCACATCCATGGAGAAGCGCCGAGGAGATGAATGGGCGGCGGCGCGGCGTCCTGTCTACGCGACAAGAACAAGTCGCGCGGCGAGAGGCAGGGGAATAGTCGCGGCGGCCAGAGGGCACGGAAAAGTCACGCTACTAGGTGGGCCTGTTTTTTTTTAATTTACCAAGTTGATACCAAATTGTTGGAGAGAGGTGATTTTTTCACTTGCCAAACAAAATACCAAGTTGCTAAAACACAAGATATACCAAGTAAAATATAGGGAGTTGTTGGAGATGCTCTAACTTCTCTCGTGCATGTGTCTTATGTATGAAGGTTGCTCAATTGGAGGTTGCACACGGCTTGAGGCTTTCTTCAGCTGATAGCAAATGTCGCCTCGTAACCGGCTGTCCAAAGGTTAATTTTCTTTACTGTTTTTTATTTACTTCAGTATATGTGTCTTTTGTTGTAAAATTGGAGGTCTTTTATTTGCTTGCATACCTCATAATTCTGATCACTATTTCTGCTTCCTATCCAAAAATGATGTAGATCAAGGAATTTAGGGATACATGATCCAAAGCTGAATTTTACAGTTCCATAACTAGGCTATTTGTTCTCTCAATTAGCGCTCAGCCCCACATTTTTTTAGATGCAGCTAGGCGGACACACTGAGGGCTTTAGTTGTATACCCACATTTTATTTACTTCTGTTTCTTCTCAATTGCGGCTTCAAATAACTTGGAACTCATTAACAGTGCCCAAGTTTTTGTAATTTGGGAACAACACTTTAGCACTATAGGTTACTATCTTATTTATTTTTTTAAGATTTTGTTTAGGCTCTCTTTAGTTATATACCCACGGTTTACTACTAACTTGTGTTTCTTCTGAACCGCTGCTTGAAACTACCTGGAACTCATTAAAAATGCCCTATGGTGAATTCAGGATTAAAACTTTTGCTCCATAAGTTGCTATCTTTTTTTCTTTTTTTCAGATTTCCTTTTCGTTCTCTTTCTTTAGTAAGGCACAAAACGCTTTCTCTTCGGTGCTTGGAATGCAAGGGAGATTTTGCGAATGTAAGGTACGATAAAACATTTCAATCATTATGGAGTAGTCATTCAGCTGTGTCAGTTGTTCCTATATGAGCTTCTACAAGTTTTTAAATTCCTGGCCCATCCATCTAAGGTCTCATGATCCATGCAGTTCATACCAGCTTCTATATGACCTTCTGTAGGCACTTAATCAGTGTTGTTTCATGCTTTAATCCTGACTGGACTGGTGTTGTTGTCTTGATCTTATCCTCAGTTCCTTACTTATTCTGCTGACAACCTGACATCCTCGAGTTTTTTTTCCTACAAAACCAGTACAGAAATACTTTGCCCTCCATTACTCTTCGTATACTTATGGGACATGACTTTCCTTTCGGTGCAGCCTCTAATGGATAATTTGGAAGCTCAGACTTATGAGATATTTGAAAAGGATGTTGTGAAGTATACTCAGGTTCCTGCTATATGATGTGAATATGCCCTTTGTTTTATATATTATAGCTCGTGAAGTAGCTACTATCTTGTTCATATTTATTTTGAATAACATGAATGCAAAATTTGAAATTCGAATAAAACTTCTTATCTGTTTCCACCACGATTTCAAGCATCACATTATATGGCTGTTTTTGAAATAATAGTTTACTTGAACTGCTGATGAACCTGGTTTGGCAAAAGAAAACAAATAATCAAATATTATATGCCCAGAATGTTATCCTTTTCTTTTCCCTGTGACTTCATGTCTGCTTATTATTAAGTCCAATACTGGTTTTTATTGATTCTTTGTTTTACATCATGTGAGCAGTATCGAAGAGCAGTTTCTAAGGCCTTGGTTGATAGGGTTGCAGATGATGCAGTCTCCGCAACTAGGACCGGTAAGATTGAGCCTTAAACTTTGATGTGTTTTGTCCTCCTAAATTTGATGCATGTCAACCATACTTTTAGCAAATTTTAGGATACCGAAATTTTTTGGAGATGAAGTAATGGTATAGCTCTAAATAAGATTAGAGGCTTTATTTTCTGCTAAGATGGCATAATTGCAGGTTAGCGTCACTTCTCTTGAAGCTTATGAGCTTCAAAGAAAAAAAGAGGATCTTGTGTCGACACAGAATTTTCGTCCCATGCCGAGGACACACGTAGCAAGCCGGAAGGGTCTGCTCGATGGAGCTGTAGATCCGCTTAGCTTCAGCGCAGGGATGGTCGATCCTGCGCACTCCTCTCGAGACGTGCCAGTCAATTTAACCCTATAATTAACAAGGAGAGAAAGTTTATCAGTAATTAAGGGCGGAACGTGCCGGTGTTGCCAGACAGTCCCGAATGTACGGCTCTGAGAGCCGATATGAAAGGAGATCGACTAAACAGTCGATTCCAGCATATTCGTGAGAATAAATCGGTTAAAATTCATTGAGTTGTATAAGAAGAATCGGTTATCATTTTAAGATAAATGTCGTTATTTGAACAAATATTAATCAATGGCAATAAGATGTCAACAATGATTGGTTTATGCTAAGTTAATGATTACAAGTAACCGAACCCATTTTTATATAAAGAAACAATTCAACACCATTTAACCGTTTAATAAAGATAAATCTAATAAATATGTTAGATCTCATCTATCGCTATGACTAGTGGGGCATGGGGCAGAATTATGTAGGCCATAGAAATAACAATAGACTCGACGACCCTAACTCATTACTAATATTAGTGGGGCATGAGGCAGAATTATGCAGGCCGTAATATAATAATAAGATCATGGGGCTAACACATCTTTCAACCTATCTTTACTTCAACGGTCTCGTGATGCGAACTGTTCATGAAAGCACTCGATATTGGCTAAAACAGCCGATTCAGGCATAGCGCATAGTTAAAGTCATGCCTTATCAAGAATAGATCTACCAAATAACGATACCCACTCCACGGTGCTAATAGTGGGGTGTGAGGCAGAATCACACAGGCCGTGATAACGGGCCATGGAACGATTTTCGCTAGCCAATAAATCTACTCAAGACGCAACATGATTTAACCGCATGCTATGCACGATCATGATTGATGTAAAACAGCCGATAAAACGTAACTCATCATTTAATGTGTAGATTAGATCTGTTTTAGATTAACAAACGATAGGCTAAACAAGATATAAGTTCGATATAGATCAATCCCAATCTGACAGAGCGATATTGCTGTAATTTATATAAATAATGAAAGCAATAATCAATATCGGTAACTTAATGAATCTACCAGAGACTGCCATTCTAAGGTAGAGCCAATAACTTGACCTTGATCTAGTTCATGCAGTGGGGGTCGACCGGATTGATGCAGCCATACTTGAACTAGGCAAGAATCGATAACTAACTTATACCAGAGTCACAGTGGAGGTCGACCGGATCGATGCAGTCGTACGAACAGAGGTATAAGCCATGACGGTACTTACAACAAGCAGTGGAGGTCGACCGGATCGATGCAGCCGTACTTGCTGAAGAACTCGCCGATATCTACTCTACTCCTACTCCTAAGGGGTGGCCGGAGCCGAAAAATTAAATAACTTGTATATTGGATTGATTGTCTGATTTTACAATAGCCAGGGTTTGATATTTATACCCAGGCCCTGTGCATGACTCCTGTCTAAGCATGACTTATTATAATTTTTTGACCCTAGAGAAAACATTTCTAATTTAAGATAACTTGGACTCTAATATTTCTCTTTTTATAGAGTCCAACATGTTTCATCCTGGCGCCGACCGTAGCCTTCGTCGTCATCTGCTGGCGTTACCTGAAGAAAGCCGATTCTGGTGCTACATTCGAATCAGCTAATTCTGGTCTGCACGCAATTGCTTCCTTGATAACACGATCTTGGGGGCTTTTAAATCCCTACGAGACTCCTTCCAAATTTTGGTGTAAACACATGACCCCGATTTTGAGATAAAAGTAATTTTATTCCAAAATTATCATGTCTGTGTCCTTGATGGGTCCGTAGTCATGGGTAGAGAATCTAGATCCAGAGTCTACTGTTTGTCGCCGCTTGCGTCAGCTCATGAGCCTATGCCTCAAAACTTTTACAAGAGCGTCACTGCTTCACGGGCATTTAGATTCATCTTTCCGGGCCGGCTATAAAATGCCCATCCGACCCTGGCGAGAGCAACTCAACAATTCAGCCATGTTTTTCTTCCATCTGCTCCCTCGAGCGCCTCTAGTTCCATCAGACCCTCCATGGTCCATTCTCTTGCTATGAAGATCTTGAGCGGTTAGAAGAATTCTTGTGCATAGGGTGATTGTGTCGCCCATTCTAGCGCCTTGTCGAGCAAGAGGATCAGCTACTACGGCTAGAAGAAGTCTTGTGATATCACCTGTGTCTTCTCACCATGCTCGTAGAGCTATTATAGTGTTTGCAAGGGCTAAAATATGTGGACACCTTCCCCTTGTTCGTTCCACCAAATGCCCATCGAGAAAGCCACAGGCTTCTTTCCCACAGTTTCTCAGCCACCAAGAAATCAGCTGGGCATCTATTGGGCGGCCTTTCCCCTTTTCCTGGCACAATTCTATCAACGGGCCGACGTGACTCGGTTCACGATGACCTTCGGGCTTGTGAGGGTTCGGACTCCCTTCAATCCAAACAAATCTTGGTGGGTCGGTCTCTGGTCAATGTAAATTTTTGTATTCGCCCCATGATATTTTGTAATTCAGGGAAGCAATAAGTTCGAATTTGTTATCTCTTTGTTATTTGTCCCCTGAATTTCTGGAGTGTCGATCCGTTTCCGTTCTTGATTTCAGTTTTACTCCCCCGGTGAAGTCTATCTTCTTGCCTTCTCGGGTTATATATACGGGCCATGGCTCTGGATCGAAAAACTACCTTCTTCGTCTCAAACCTCCTGTATCCTTAGTATAGTTTCTGCTTTTTCGTAGACTTGAGATTATGGAGAACAGTAATAGATCTGCTGAGGAGGCTCTCGATGGATCTGCTACATCACGCCAGCGTATCCATCGTCAAGAGGGTGCACCTCGCGATGCCCCTGTCATTTTAGAGTAGAGGGCTGACTCTGCTCAGCCTTTGGGGTCATCCTCAGCACCAATTTGTTGTCAACTTCCCCGTTATCTGAGGAGGCCAAGAGATAACGATGACTTGATCGCTTCCATCGATTGGACCGGCGAGAAACTTGCCGACTGCCTCGCTATTGCTGAGTCGGCCCTGGCCATAGTTTAGGGCCGATCATCCCCTGAGGCTAACCCGGTGCGGGAGAGGCTGACCAAGGCTGAAACCAGAATCGTAGGTGAGACATTCATCATAATTTTCTATTTCTTCTTAACTTTTGCCTCCAAGATCCTGATTACTTCTTCCTTAAATCCTTTAGATCTATCGACTTAGCTGGAAAGCCTTCGTCTAGCTGTGGACCATGCGGCGGGATTCATCAATGCTAGGGGCACCGTTCCGGTGGTTCGCCTGCATGACATCCCAAACTGCGTTAGAGAAGTTGCTCTTCATGGCGTTCGGCATGGCGCTGCCATGGCATTAGCTGCGGCGCAAGTTCACTCTGGCCACGATCTTCAGCTCCTTCCCCGTGGAGTTCCAGCCACCGGATACCCCAGAGATTATGAGCTCCTAGTCGAGGATTTCTCCGACGTCACTAACTCTGTAGCCCTGACCTCCTAGGCCGATGATATAGTGAACAAAGTGTTTTCTGGTCTATAACTTGTAATAAGTGACATCAAGCAAACAATTCCCTTGTCTCCAGTGATTTTCCTTTTACTTTATGCACCACTTTGTCCGTGTTTCTCTCGCTCCTGTGGACGACACATATCGTATCGACTTTTACCCTTCTGGTATCGGCTGACAGCTGAGCAAATCAGTTGTCAAGTATCACTCCAAACATTAGAGTAATATTCCTTTAAATATTCTCCATTCGATTGCCGAATTCCTCTTCTCCTCTTAGTGTTTCCAAAATTTAAATATTACCATGCGCATAACGTTTGATCTGATAAGGTTTCTCCCGATTAAGCGACCATACCGGCTATCTCGCTCTTGGCCGTCAAGGATAATCCATCCCTAGCTCTCTGTAGTCCCATTGTCATTGACCGTCATAAGTACATTTTCACGAGCAACCCTAGATCAGCCGAAAAAGTCAAACAGATAGCGAGAGCTGATACTATTCGGCTAGAAATATTGAGAGCGATCCATGACGTTCTGGACTTCAAATCTGCATGTCAACGCGTATCGATCATATTCTCCGTTATTTAATTACGCTTCTTTCTTCGGCTAAAGAGCCGATTTGATACAACCGATCCTAGACTTCTAGTCCAATCAAGTCTAAAAATACGGCTTTTATTAAAAGAACCCTTTGATTTCCTACCCTCAGTTGCTCAACGTCCGTATTCCCATCGGCATTAGCGAAGTGGCGCTTCGCCTTCCATTAATTGTGGTTGCCTTTTGTGCGTCCCGATGCACCCACCTCTTCGCTTCATGTCTTCAAATACCAGCCGATGGCTTCGGCCTTGAACACATCTCCACTCGCAACTATTCCTTTGCTCTTCTCCGCCTGTCGAAACCCTGTAGCAGTATTTTCTTTCTCCCTTTCATAGATCCAATCACTTTTCATGGCCGGTGAGGATAACCGAGGCGAGCGCGCTGCGGAGGGGATCCAAGAGGAGAACATGCCGATGAACCAACGTCTTCAACATATGAGGTGGGATTGACATTACCTATTTATGACGATGAACTATTCTGACTCGCCTACATGTTTGTTGTGAATGACAGTCTTCGCCCTCTCCCTAGGACCGGCGGGCCTTCTGATGCTGCATCTTCTGTGCCGGCCTCGTCATCGGATTCTTTCGACTCCTATAATGGCGACGACGCCCGGTGCTATCTTCATGAGTGGAGGATGGCTCAGAATCATTATTCCGAGGTGACTTGGGAGAACGGCCAACTGGAGATTCACCTTGGGGTCTCTCAGGCCGCCCTTCACGTGGCTGAGGAGGAGGCCAGTGCCATCCGAGCGCGACTGGCCAAGTCCGACGCTATGGTGGTGGGTAAGATAAATTCCAGGAATGCCTCATTCT